GATCCTTTTCATTCATTTACCAACACTATGAACAATTTCCCTTAGAAGAAGTTTTTAAAAAAGACCATTTTTGAATTTTATTGGCAAAATCGATCATTTTTTTATTTAATTAGCAAATCTTTTTGACCATACAAACACGGCTAGCCAAAAGGAGGTTGATTTGACAAAATTGAGTTCTTAAAATACAAGGGAGTACTAGTCCAGTGTATTTAGCGGCCACCAATTAGATCTTTAAGTATACACGGGACTTGTAGTCTAGTGATCAGTGACCACTAAATACGCGGGACTAGTAGTCCCGTGTATTTTAAATACTCTATATTTTGCAAAATCGACCTTTTTTTGGCTAGGCGTGATGACATTGCTAAAAAGAAGCCGATTTTGCTAATTAAATAAAAAAGGTCAAATTTCCTAATAAAATTTTAAAAGGGCCCTTTTTAAAACTTTTTCCTTTCCATTATCATGTACGAAAAAATGTAAAAAGTCTTTTTTACCTTCTTTCAGTCATTCACCATTAGCGCCCATCATGTTGGCCTCTACTGCAGTTAAATCTGAAGGACTCTCCAATAATTAAAGAGAAGATTAATATGGTCAAACAAATTAAGTGCTACTTTTCACAGAACTATCCAATGACACTATTATAGCGAGGTGTTAATGAACTCATGTAACAGCTAATAAGCCTACAACAAATATTCCGAAAGAGCTAGAGAAGTAAACTGAGCATAACAATAAATATTATGAGAAGTTAGAGGAGTACTTGAAATGAGCACTATGTTCCAGCTTCCGACTTCCTTGGATTGCTGATTCACTACCTTCTAGTTCATATAGGTGAGAGCTGTCCTCTGGCACTTTCAAATCCCATTTCTTAAGGCAGGCAACAACAACTTGGCACATTCGCGTTAAGGGACTTCCTCCCGGTTTTTGAAATCTATATAATTTGGAGCCAGAAAGGAAACTGCCGACAGCTAAAGCCATGAATAATGTAGGAATTCCATAGCCTAATCCCCAGCCACGATTGTCTTGTATCCATACAAGAAAAGTGCCAGATATAAAAGCACCGATGTTGATACAGAAATAAAACCAATTGAAGAAAGAACCTTTACCCGGTCGCTCTCTAGGGTCAGTATCATCAAATTGATCAGCTCCAAAAGATGAGACGCAAGGCTTGATGCCACCGGTGCCAAGTGCAATTAGATAAAGGCTGAAGAAGAAAATAGCAGATTGGAACGTGCTTGGCTCTGGACAAGCAAAGCCTATACAGTGAGGAGGCTTCAAAGCCGGTACTGATGCTGAAACAGTCAACGAAAGCATTCCCTTTGACAAAAAGATATATCATTAGTCAACTAAGAGAATTGGATGCACAAATAGAGAGATGTCATAGCAATCGATAACATTATTAAAGGATACAAAAGAAATTATCAAAGGATACAAACATACACAAAGAGACATGCCTCTATTGTGAAGTTTCATCCTGTTGAATGTGTTGGATAATATGTTAGACACAAGACATCCTGCCATGTCATTTCTAACACATCCTGCCATGTCATTTTTGTATTGACTATTTTTATTTTCCTTTTTTGAGAAACCGTGCACGTCATGCATTATGTCACATTCTGCCCTGTCACTGTGTCAGTTCAAATGCTTCATATATAGGTAAAAATTGCGCTTCTTTAGGATGTTATTTAAGAAACTTTTTTTTTTTGCATTCTTCCTGGAAAGAATAATTTTTCGGAGTTACAGTTTGCTATGAACTTTTGGTTGCAAAAAGATATGTGGTCATAGAGAAATACGGGTTAGGAAGGAATAGGAGTTCTCATTAAAAGAACAATGTAATTGTAGAAAAGTATTTGTTTATGATAGTGTTAAAGAGTAAAATATAACCTGAAATTGGAGTTCAGGTCCTAAATTTCGACCAGTGTATCAGGGAACATATTGGAAAAAGTCCAAATTTAATTGAGTATAGACTTGATATTTCTAGCTGACCTAGCTGTGCTCTTATCAAGAAGTGGGTCAATGATACCTACAATGAAGTAAATTACAGAAAAACCTGCAACAGTTCGATATCTTCCCCAGTACGAATCTGCTACAAAAGCACCAACAAGAGGTGTAAGATAGCAAGTGCCTTGCCAAGTGGTAACATTTCTTGCAGCAGACACATTTCCTTGGTGCAGCTCTTTAGTAAGATAAGTGACTAGGTTATTTGATATTCCATAGTATGCTAACCGTTCACAGCATTCAGTTCCTACAATATCAATTTTAATCATGAGTTATAAAAGATACTATTAAACTCCAGCAACAAGGAGCATCATACAATGGTAAAATGTTGATACCTAGGATAAATGGGCAAGCTCTCCAGTTTCCAGTAAGCTCTTTCAGAACGGGATTCCCGTTAAGGTCAACTGATCCATCCCCTGTGTAAGGTCCTTTGCTTTCATTCTACAAATTCAAAAACAAAGAAATAATGCAATTAATATCATAACAATCAGGAGTTTTAGGGAATTATCCCCGATTCTGCAGGAATCAATTTGATGTATAAGAAAAAAAAAAAGAACACCTCAAGAATCAGCATTTAATGCTGAGCACCGGTTCAAGAACATTAAATCAGCAGGCAAGGCATAATAACAGTAACAAGGCTAGCTAATAAGGAAAGCTCTCTAAATCTTATGTTATATCTCTAAGAAGACTCACATGGATTAGGTTTAAACTGAAGAAGTATAGAAAATGATAGGCATTGGTTTTTACGCCATTTAGATTGAAGGGATGAAGGAAAAATGTAAAGAACATTGAACATTTGGAGTGATTTTGACTCATAAAAGTTCTTAACCGAATGAGTAACTTTATAGAGTCTAGCAGTAAATTTTAATATTCTCTATGATTTTAAGATAAAGAGAAGAGGTAGGTTGCACACCATAAGGACCACTGGTATTATTTTACTTCTGATATAGTGAATCTCCTCTTGCCTATGAATGTAGGAACATTGTGTAATCTTCTATGTATTTCCTATAATTTTGATTTGCCATACATAGTTCTTGATTCCTTTTCATCCTTCTTTAGTAATTACATGGCGATTCATCAAGTTTCAATAATGAATCCCTAATTCTTAACATATCTTCTATTCCATAAAGCATATCTTATCTCTGGAATTTTTCATTCATGTCCTTCACCTCTCTTTTATGCAAAAAGATTTTTCTCTATTTTATTATTTCTTAGGAGTTAGCTAACTTATTCTTTGCCAATGTTTTAGAAATGGCTAGCACCTAGGCGCGGGACCAAGCACCTACACGGGAGCTTAAGTGGCACAGACATTTTTAGAATCAAGAGAGGAATGATTCTTTTCAAAGACTCAAAATTCTATCATCGTCGTTTACCTAAGATGGACTTGGATGTAGAGTTTTAATCTGATCCATTTTAACTACGTCCATTCTCTTCTCTTTATCCGTTTGTCACTCCCCGGGCCCGCGAGCCCGTCTGCTGTAAGTTATGGGACCACTAAGAGTAACTCGATGTTTGGCTAAATCCACTACCAAAAGATGTTAGCATTAGTTGCTCTTAAACCATTTGGCTTTACTATTTAAACCATTCAAAGTCTTTTAGTTTTTCCCAATGTGGGACTATTTTGGATATCACACTCACCCCACCTTCAACACCAGACGCCATCATTGCGGCATGATAATTAGCACATCTCAGTGTCACAATTAGACAATGTGGACTTTATAGGTCACTCCTACGGGCTCTAGAGGTAGCCCTCACCATACTCAAGGGATGTAGGACTTAGTCTAATGTATCACTTAGCTCCCCACTTCCGACTGACTAACTACTCTGATACCATTTTGCATGCCTTGAGCCCGTGAACCCGTTGCCGTGCTGTAAGTCATGGAACCCACTGAGAGCAACTCATTTGTTTGGCTCGATCCACTACCAAAAAGTGTTAGCATTAGTTCCTCTTGAATCTTTGACTTTACTATTTAAACCATCCAAAGTCTTCTAGTTTTTCTTGATGTAGGATTATGTGGGGTATCACACCGTTACTATGCTTCAGCAAGCAACATACCCCTCTTTTGCATAAGCGGCTCGGTCTAAGTACCGTTTAGGCCTAGGTCAACAACCAGACCGCTTTTTAAGCCAATGTTGTTTGCAGCTAGAATATGCTAGTTCTCCCAATCTCCCTCTGTAATGATGTCTATGGGTGAATCTTCAGTCATATAGCCCCTTACTGGTGTCACCTTTTAATGCATTTGAAGATATCTCTGCCTAGTATGTGCAATAGCTTAATGCATAATATCATCCACAACCTTTGGTCATAGCATAATACTGTCCAGCACCTTGCAAGAGCAATATATTACTGCTCACAAACTTATCCAGGCATTCACATTGAACTTGCTTCAGATTGCTTTATGCTCTTGACTTTGTACTTCTAGTGTATCCACAAGTATATATTTGCACATCATTTTTGTTGGGTTCTAAAGGCTCGCGAGTGTAATTAGATTGGACTAATCTTCTAGGAACCACGTTAAATCCAATTCCAAAGGATTAACACTAATTGAGTCATTAGTCATCTCACTCTATTTCCCGTATGGTACTGAATTCATTCCTCATGTCTCTCATGCCACATCCACTCGAGAACAAGTGGATGTGAGACAATTCCGACCTTTACAAATGAAATTTCACGCACAATTTGAAGTCTCAATTCACTTGGGAATGTTCTCGAGTTGTCTCTGAATTGACTTTGTGTCGGTACATAGCGCCAACCTTCAAGATGCAAGTACAATTCTTTATACAGAACACATAACTAGGTACATATTTATGGTGTAGCTCCACTACTATGTGATTGTGGAATCTTTCCTATACAATTTCCTGCATTTGTTACCAAATCCGATTCAGTTGCAACTCTTCTTTACATAGAACACCAAGACATGACACATAATCCTTTGATTCTCAAATTCAAGAAGCTCAATGCGTAATTGATCAAATCTCCAGAAACCCAATTGACAAATTTTAATTTTTATCAATGCCTGAAAATAGAAGCCCCACAAATCTAAATGCTGATAACATTACTAGTAACCACATCAAACTAGACCTGAAGTAACAATTTTGATCACTAACCGATATGTTATTTGAGGAAATCCAATACCCAAAAGCTAGAATTTAAATTTAAAGAAAAAAGAATGAAAGAAACCTGAGAGTGATTGTTTTCTCCTTCTAAAAGTAGAAGCCTCTCCTCATATTGCGGCTCTTGAGGGCTCATTGACATTACAGGGATCCAAACCAAGCTATAGACCACTTTGTTTAGCGATAAAGATCCGATTTATGCAGAATTTAACGCTGATTTCGGTATCGGATGGAATCTCCAAAGTATTCCCATCCTTTTCTCCTCTTGTTTGCACAGTTGACCACAGAATTCGAGTTTGGGCTGGAAATTGGGTCGGGTCTTTAACGGGTTAAGCCATTTTATGCCTGACCGTTACCTGATCCGAAAGTTTAATCTGATTAAAATAGACAGAGGCTACGGAGCTAAGCATTATTCTTCCAGATTATTAAGGTATATTTTTCATAGATTGATGAAATTATTACGTTATGCATACAAAATATAAGAGACCACTATTAATTCATCCCAGCTCCCAAGGATCTTCCAAAATGATCCTTCAAGTTAAATCAAGTTTGATTTGAGGGAAATATTCCGTCAAATCTAACGGTCAGAGGCAAAATGATCATTTTACTCCTCTATTATGTTCCCCAACCCAACTTAAATGGATTTAAATCATGCTAAACAACATCAGAAAGATGGAGTTTGGTGATTGCAGATGTAGCGTTAGAAGTACCCAATCATGGTTAGTTTTTTTAAGCTAAAACATTAACAGAGAGACAATTTTACAAGATCCTATAGGATTTAAGGGACTAATATGCAATTTTCAAGAGTTGAGGGACTAATATGCAATTATTAAAAACGTAAGGGACTAATATCTAAAAAAGTCCATGAAAATACTATCTCGCTATACACAATACCATGAATATTTACAATAGAGAGCCTACCTCTGCCACATATAAATATCAAGCTAGTAAAGACATAATTGATAACAGTATTTGCTTTAACCTCTTTTTATGGTAATTAACACAACACAACGAAAAACAAATGATAAATTTCACAAAACCACCCAATATTTTATGAGGTTTCACATGAAAAAAGAGGCTAGTAACTAGGTTAGATACGCATACATAATGCACGAGATATCTGTTAATTTGGGGGTGGATACCAACCTCTGCACCGGCGAGGAGCTCCGACGAGCTCGATGTCGACGAGGCGAAGCCACAGGTGAGGTCCAGGCTATCTTCGGCAGCGCCCCCCCGAGCTCTGCGTTCGAGCTCGAGCCCCACGTGCGAGCGCCTCCACCCAACTCTGCGTTCGAACGCAACCCTGCGTTTGGCGATGGCGTCCTTTGCGTTCGAGCGCTCCCACCTCTGCGTTCGGCCTCGAATTTGGCGTCGAAGCAGTCGCTGGCGACAGGCTGTCGCCAGCCCTCCACCTCCGCCTATAAAAGAGACCCCATGCCCTAGGGTTTAGCTGCTGAAGAACTTCCCCCTCTCCTCCGATTTCTCCTTCTCTGGTGGCGGCGGCTGCCCTAAAATCGCAGAGGCGATTTTTCTCCAGCTCTCAACGCGATTTTGAGAGAGAGAGAGGGGATTTAAAAGGAGAGAGAGAGAGAATTAAAGAGGGTTTAATTGTGGGGTATCATTTATTCTCAAGTTGAGAATTGAAAGGGGTTCATACCCTTTGATTATTAACACTGTAGCTACAGTGTTTATCTGAGAAATCTCAGTTTTGAGATACGCTCCTAAATTGTAATTTCTTGTTTAATTAATAAGAAATTATCTGTGTGGCTCCCGAGGACGTAGGCAGTTGCCGAACCTCGTTAAATCTTGGTGTACTTTTCTATTCTGCGTTTCTGTTGCAATTAGGGATTTAGGCATTAAAATTCCTAACAAACCATTGATCAACAATCAACAATATACTTCACTCCGGAGAGTGGATAACATGAAACGAACTCGTCAAAAGGTAGATGACAGCGGATTGTGGAGGAGTCAAATTGATGATCTGAGAGTTGGATGTAAGCGCTAGCACCTCAGGAACAACACGCTAAAATTTTGTCTCGATTGGACAACGTTTCGCCTTTGATCAAGGATAAACTCTCTGCTGGTTGGAATTTTCAGGCAACTCACATTCGCTTGTTCTCTCTACTTCTCATTATTTTGCTAAAACTTGCAACCAATCCTTAGGGCTTTATATAGTCATCTCCTGGCCAGTTGCCAATGCAAAAGGTAATGCATAATTGCTCTTTCATATTCCCATGGGCAACCTTCAAACTTCGTTTACTTTGCATCCTCCAATGCAACTTTCAAGCTTATATGCTCAGCACCATTTATGCTTCTTGGAGTCTGGATCTTACTAGGAGGGAATCCCGACACTTTAGGCTTTTTTTAAACTCTTGTTCTCTATATTCTTAAAAATCTACACGCTTAAAATTTTAAATGAAGTTCTCTGTCTACTATAGATTTCAATTGATTTTTATTTCAAGTTTTCAGTGCTAATTTATCTTTGTCATATTTTGGTTCCATGGACTGTTTTTGGCTTCAAAGAATTTTCCAAATAAATTGTTTGACATGCATGGGCAACTATGTTTAAGACCAATCAACATCTTTCCATGCTATGAACTAATAGCGAGTGCAGCCTTTACGTTTGTGTTGTTACATAGTCAAGCAAATCTAGATTATCTTGTATTGTCTACTTTAAACTTATTCCAGATCTTTTCAGCTTCAATTATTTTAAACACGTCCACTAAATTTTTAAAAGTTTTAAGTTTTTATATAATTAGATTAGCAACTTTTACTAGAATGTTGAACTAGTTTTAAATTTCCAGATATCTTTGATTTTCAATTTCTTCACTAATTGAATGCTTTTCAAACATATATAGTTGAAACAATATTCACAAGCTTATCAAATGTATGTATTGAATTATTTTTTCCCCCGATAGTACTTGTAGCCCAACTTCACTTAGTGACATTTGCTATGATATTAAATACTTTTCAAACATATGAAATGTATGTACTGAATTGATTTTGTTTTTTCTTCTGAAGTACTCGTATTCTGAAATATAGAAAATTTTATAACGTCATCAAAGACATTCGTTTAGCAATTTCCTATGAACTTTTAACAGCATTCGGAACATTTCACATCTTTCTAATATTTTTTTAAATCAAAATTTCATATTGTTGACTTGTTCTTCTTTTGTTGGTTAGTTGTGTTCTCGAGTCTAGAAAACAGCCTTGGTTTTTCAAAGAAAAGACAATACACTTTCTTGAAGTAATATTTGAACTTTTCAAGATACAAAGACTATCTTTAGCTAAATAATATTTTGAGTTGTTTTGTCTAATTTGCTTATTTCTTCTATTTTTATCTGTAGAAATATTTTTTAATGAAAATTTTATTTAAATGTTGCTTCTAAACTTTTGAACTTCTAGTACTACCTTTCACTTTATCATACGTAACTATGTTTTATCTGTTTTCCTTGTCTGTGTCGAGTAGTTATATTTTGAAGTAGTATTGTTTTGCTTATTAAATTTTTAGTGACGTGTCTCTACTTTTGTCTAAATCATGTGTTCTGAAGTGTTAAATTTTTATTATTCGTAATTTTCAAGATAATGTTATATAATCCATAATGCCTTGATCAATTTTTAGCATTCCAGTATTTCATTTACTTAAACTATCTTCCGTGATGATTGTACATGGATTATCCATTACAAAATTTATATCATCATTAATTTTGGAAACAAGTTTTTACATGCTTCCATGTAGTAAATCTATCTTAATTGTGTATAGAAAGTCTCTGCACGAGCGCTTTACTTGAATTACGACCCCAAAATTTGGATCTCGATGACAGAGGTCTCTCGACGATTTGATATCGTCCTCATTGTCGATCTCTGCCTTATTGATCTTTTCTCGAGCGCAAAGTCAACTCCACCATTTGTTTGTCAGATCCTTAAAGAATGATCATTTGTTAGATCCTTAAAGAAATGATCATTTATTGTTAAATCCTGAAAATGATCATTTGTCGTTAGATTCTTAAAGAAGGATCCTTTCGAATCCTTCAAAAAAGTATCATTTGTTGTCGGATCCTGAAAAGGATCATTTGTTCTTGCATCCTAAAAGGATTATTTGATTGGTGGAGCCCTAGAGGGGACTAACTGATTTGAAGATATCCAAGTGAAAAATAAGAACAAAATTATTTTGAGACACCGTCACTGACTAGAACGTGTGTACGTTATTTGTAACAAGCTGGACATGTATGATATACATGCTTCAGCTTTGAGAGGGAGTGTCAAGGAATATATTGTAGAAATATAAATAATTAGGAATAATATATTAGGAATATGTAATTGAGAGATATTAGGAATATGATTGGATATGATTTTATCTCATAGCTATTTTGTAATATCCCCCAAACCTCTGTTTAAGAAAGGTTGAGTTAGATAAATAACATATCTTCTTGACCTTTTTCTATTTCTTTACATCCTCCACATATGATCCATACCTAAACTTATCAAATAACCACCACCACTTATCATATGAATCAAAATTCAGTGAATTATTCTTCATAATCAAGACCTATATTAATCCAATTTATACAATGGATAAAAGTTCTCTGAACCAGAAGTGGGATTCAAACTCAAAGAGAAGATCTCACTACATGATCTTTAAAAAATCAATTAAACATCGATCGACATATTTATTTAAAAATTCACTTAAAAAACAACACTGCAATTAATCAAAGTTCAGTCATTTTCCTCAATTCTTCCTTAGAATTATGAGTCTCTCCAGCTCTACCTAATCCGGAGTCTCTGAAAAGATGAATAAAACATAATGAGTTTAATACTTACTAAGTGGATGAATCTATACATTATGCACTAGTTTAACAAAACTAAATATACAAATCATCATAAATCAAAAGTAATGTAAACATGTTTATATACAATAGAAATATCACCAACAAATTATTATACCATTTTTGATGCCACGAGTGAAAAATAATATTTCGTAGGAATTGGAAATGTAAGCAAGCCACGTCTCAATGCAATCAACACTTCAATACTCTGATTGTCGTGGCAATCCCCTGAATTATTTAGCCTGTGGTCAGGATGTGAGACCCAAGTTTAGGTTCTTAGCGCTAAAATAAAAACCTCTTGGAAGCACCTTGAGCCCATTATGACTTACTTATTTTTCCTACATATAACGGTATGTTAACATGAGATGCATCTGTTTAATATAAGTGAACTGCAAATATTTTATACTAAAATGCGAAAGGTAAAATCAATAAAGAATCTCAACCCATATACACATCTCAACATGGTACTATATAATAAAGACATGACTGTTGTTAAAGAGAGAACCCAAATACTCGTGTCTTCGTAAAATATGAAACCAACAACGGATAATTGCGCAAAATACTCTAAATAAACGTTATTCATGGAATAAATCCACATATGAATAAATGCATAGATTCACCACTTACAGAGTTCTAATGAATATCCAAATTCTTCTTACAATGTTACTCCAGGGCCTTTAGGAAATCCTAAAGAATAAATACAAGCAAGCAGTAACTCTACTATTTATCCTATGATCACCGCCTAATTAGATTAAATAATTAATTATCATTCTATAAATCCAAATAGAAGATATAAGTACTCTATACAGCTAACATAAGGAGCATTATGTCATAATATCTTCATTAAAAAGGCTTGGGATCATATTCATTAATTTCAAGACCTAAAGCAGAGTTGAGCAAGGTACTTCCTAGTCTATACATAAAGTCAAATGTGATATTGAAAACAATTGGAGAGCAATGGCAGCAAGGAATTTCTTTGAGCTGCATGGGTTTGGTTTCGTAACAGGTTCAAAACAATGAGGTTGCATTTAGGGGCTGTTTGTTTGGTCCAAAAACCACAGAAAAAGACCACTGAAAACTGACATAGGGTATTTTTCACAATTTCCTTCATAATCGGGTGTTTGTCTTGCAAAAGACAAAGGAAAGTGAGGGAAAGATGTTGCGCCAACTAGACATTTTCCCCAGAAAAATTTCCCCTGTTTGAAGCCGATTTCGGGAGAAAAGTGCACTTTTCTCTCTCCGTCCGAATCTAGGGTTCTCGAAAATTTATTCTCAAGTTGAGAATTGAAAGGGGTTCATACCCTTTGATTATTAACACTGTAGCTACAGTGTTTATCTGAGAAATCTCAGTTTTGAGATACGCTCCTAAATTGTAATTTCTTGTTTAATTAATAAGAAATTATCTGTGTGGCTCCCGAGGACGTAGGCAGTTGCCGAACCTCGTTAAATCTTGGTGTACTTTTCTATTCTGCGTTTCTGTTGCAATTAGGGATTTAGGCATTAAAATTCCTAACAATATCTTTAAAAGATCAAACAGATCCCAATTATTAGAATGAATTCCAAACCAAAACATCAAACTAATTCAGTTATGACTAAGTACAATTATGAGCAATAAGTATTAAAAAGAAAGGATGCTCGAACCCAAAATCCAACAGAGGAAGACGATACGGCTAGGGACTGTTTGGTATGCTGCAAAAATGAATTGTGACATATGTTGTTTGGATTATTTACAATTTTATCATGGAAATGTATTTCTGGTCGAATATTTACACAAAATCACCATTTTCCAATCAAAACTCTAAGAAGCCTTCTTGCTCTCATACCTCAAGGCGCACCAAACAAACATCACAAGATTCAAGCCACTCAAACCTGCAATCAACAAAAAGAACCGATCGAGATGCCCTTCATTCAAGTTGTCAGGAATCCATCCAGGAGTTCCTCCTCTAGTCGTTACCGAAGCCACAAGTGTCAGAATCAACGAGTTCGAATAACTCCCTAAAGAACTCGTCACAAGTGCAAGAGCACTGCATATACTTCTCATGGCATCAGGAGACTGCTCATAGAAAAACTCCAACTGTCCAATTACAGTAAACACCTCAGCTGCGCCTACTAGAAAATACTGAGGAATTTGCCAAAGAATACTCATCGACACTGCGACTTTCTGATGAACTAACCCCTCAGAATATGCAATTTGGAGACGCTTGATCTCTACCAAATATGCTGATATCATTGCAAGTATAGAAATTAAAAGGCCAATACCGATTCTTTGAAGATCAGTGAAACCGCTTTCTCTGCCAGTGAATTTTCTTACTGTTGGAATAAGGAGGCGATCATAGATTGGGATGCAGATGAGGACACTGATGACATCGAAGGTTGAGAGTGAGGCTGGGGGAATGGAGATAGAACCGATGTTTTTGTCGAGAACCATGCCTTGTTCCAAGAACAAGGAGGAATTTTGGGAATATACAGAAGAGAAAATGATGGTGGTGGCCCAAATGGGGAACATTTGGATTAGTATTTTGAGTTCTTCGACTTGTGTGACTGTGCAGAGACTCCATGGATTGACGAGGTCCTCTCTTTTGGTGTCTAGGGTTGATATCATTGCAGCCTTGTCGAGGAACCTGTAAAATATGCACGCAATAGATTAATTCTCGAGAAATGTCAAGAATGCTATGGAAGTATGTTGAAAAAAAGGGTTTATCATCAATAGACCCTTCATGATATTGCCTAATCACTTGATAGACAACAATGTAGTTTTATTGTTGCAAATAGGCCCCTGAGTGAATATTATTCTTGACTCTTTTACCCTCAAGAGGTCTACTTGCCAAAAAAAAAAACTTTCTCTCTTAGAACTAATGTAATAAGCCTATCACAATAACAGTAAACATAGCAACATTAGAGTAGTATTCGAATCGAGCAACAATATAAATGTTCTGAGAAGGTAGAGAAGTACTTGAACTTAGCACAATGCTCCATCTTCCGACTTCCTTGGATTGCTGATCTACTACCTTCTAATTCATATAAGAGAGAGCTGTCATCTGGTACTTTCAAGTTCCATTTCTTAATAGAGGCAACAACAACCTGGCAAATTCGCATTACAGGACTTCCTCCTGGTTTTTGAAATCGATAAAATTTCGAGCCAGAAAAGAAACAACAGACAGCTAAAGCCATAAAAAATGTAGGAATTCCATAGCCTAATCCCCAACCTTGATTGTCTTGTATCCATACAAGAAAAGTGCCAGATGTAAAAGCACCGATGTTGATGCTGAAATAAAACCAATTGAAGAAAGAGCCTTTACTTGTTCGCTCCTTAGGGTCGGTATCATCAAACTGATCAGCTCCAAAAGATGAGACGCAAGGCTTGATGCCACCGGTGCCAAGTGCAATCAGATAAAGACTGAAGAAAAAAATAGCAGACTGGTATGTGCTTGGCTCTGGGCAAAGAAAGTCTATGCAGTGAGGAGGCTTCAAAGCCGGGATTGATGCTGAGAGAGTCAGTGAAAGCATTCCCTTTGATAAAGGATATATCATTGGTCAATTAAGAGAATTTGATGAACATAGAGAGATGCCATGGTAATCAATAACATTATTAGAAGATACAAAAGAAATTATCAAACCATGCAGACACAAAAAGATCCGTGCTTTTATTATGGAGACATCCTGCCATGTCATCTTTTTATTGTGTATGTTTTCAAAAAAGAATGTTATTAAGTCATGCTTTGTGTGTTGCACAGGTTGGGGGGGAGTCTTCTCTAACAAACTTTCTAATTCAGGCATGCAATGAAATTTCTGGTTACGAAGGGATTATATAGAAATATGGGTTAGGAAGGAATAAGAGTTACCATTAAAAGAATAATCAACAATGAAATCGTTGGAAATTATTTGCTTTGTCGAGAAGTGAATCAATGGTACTTACAATGAAGTAAATTGTAGAGAAAACTGCAACAGTCCGATATCTTCCCCAGTATGAATCTGCTACAAAAGCTCCGATGAGAGGTGTAAGATAGCAAGTGCCTTGCCAAGTGGTAACATTTCTTGCAGCAGAGAAATTTCCTTGGTGCAGCTCTTTAGTAAGATAAGTGACTAGGTTTTTTGATATTCCATAGTACGCTAACCGTTCACAGCATTCAGTTCCTATAATATCAATTTCAAACATGAGTTATAAAAGATGCTATTAAACTCCGGCAATACGAAACAGCAGACAATAATAATACGTTGATACCTAGGATAAAAGGGCAAGCTCTCCAGTTGCCAGTATGATTTTTCAAGACGGGATTCCCGCTAAGGTCAACTGATCCATCCCCTGTATAAGGTCCTTTACTTTCATTCTACAAAATAAAAAACATAGAAATAATGCAATTAATAGCATAACAATCAAAGGTTTAAGAAATTACAATATCCCTGCTGGAATCAGTTCGACGTATCATCAAGACAAGAAGAAGTAAAATTATTTATCTAATCACTATTCATGCTGAGCACCCATTGAAGAGCATTATATCAGTAGGCAAGGCATGCAAAAAACCATAATTAAGATTAGCTAGGAATGAAAACTTTAATATGAATTTTATATAATTATCTATAAGAATACTCATAAGGATTTGGTTTTAAAGTGAACAAAGCAAAGAAAATGAGAGAAAATGGTTTTCCCCTCTTTGGATTTCAGAGAAAATAAGGCAAAGAAAATGAGAGAATTTTGTACTTTGATCTTTTCTCATAAAGGTTCTTTGGACTCGTGAATCTAAACAAACACCCATTGTGGAGTGTAAGAACAAATTATATACGGTGTTAGGAGAACATCGCTGATCTTCTATTTACTTCCCGCTATTTTAGTTTTCCATATATAATCCTTGATTTTTTTTTTTTTTTGCTAGTAATCACAATGCAATGCATTAGCATATGATATCTACTAGTATGCAGGCAATACCATCCCCGATCTTTGTCCATCATATAGTGCTACTCCCCATCTTGCAAAAGAAAATTACTGCTCACATACTTCCTCATTGTTGAACTAAACTTGATTTAAGGGAGGTTAAAGTAACCTAAGAGGAGAAGTTAAGGCAAGGTAAGATAACTTATAAAACTTGTTTGGAAAATTAGTAAGGGGAATTGGAAGGGAAGGGAATATATATAAAATGATATAAATACCATAACATGTTACTAAGTTATGTTCTTGACAGGACGTAAATTGGTATCTCTACAATTGCTTTGCTCCCCTCCTTTATTGTCATGCCCCGGGCCGGTGGGCCCATTGGCACGTGCAAGGTGTGGGACTCATCGATTGTAACACGCTATTTGACTCATTGCATTAACAAAATCGACTAGCCGATGTTACACTTGAGTCTTGGACTTACCTATTTAAGCCGTACAATTTCACTGTAAATTCTCGATGTTGGACTAAAGTTGGGGTCTCATAATCACCCCATCTTACAAAAGTGACATCCTCGTCGTAACATGACAATCGGTACATCCTAGTATCGTCAGGCGATGTGGACTCTAGAGGTGGATCTTATGGGCTCTTAATGTGTCTCTCACTGCACTTGCGCAGTGTAGCACTTAGCACCGCATAACATTTAACTCCATACTTCCGACTGACAACTGCTCTGATACCATTTGTAACGCCCCAGACCCGCGGGCCCGTTGGCGCGTGCAAACCGTGTGACCCGCCGAGTGTAATGTGCTATTTGGCTCAATCCACTACTGAAATTGACTAGCCAATGTTACACTTAAGTCTTGGGCTTACCGATTTAAGCCACACAATTTTATTATAAATTCTCGATGTGGGGCTAAAGTTGGGGTCTCACATTTACCTTCTCTTCTCCCCCACTATCTAGTCCAACTTGATTCCCAAACAAGGTTAAAGCCTACCATAACTTCCCCTACCCCTCATTACCCTCAATCCAAACACACTTAGGGGTGTGGGGGGTATTCATTGGGACATTTGGTGGGATAATGAGATAATTTTAGAGATTCTATTTCATAGTGTTATTTATTGAGACAATGGAACAAGGATAATACCTATTTGTGTTATTGGTTTTTTGGAACACTAGTGAGACAATTTCACCACTTGGGATAAAATTACCCCACTCATATATAAAAATGTTATCCCAATAGTAAAAATTTACCCCATCCTTCATATTGGAACAATTTTGTTCCACTTTGAAGGCAATTGGGATAATTTTCAAACCTTTTTGTATTAGTTAAACTAATACATGCTAATTATATTATAAATATATAACATAGTATATAAAGTATAAAGTAATAATATATTCAATATATTATATTATATTATCATGTAGTAAAATAAAATATTATTATAGTTTAATTTATATTTATAATTTATTTTATGATATTTATTATATATTATTATGCAATATCACATACTATATTATATTTTTAATACATACATTAATATATTAATAATATTATAAACTATATAACTATATAATATTAATTAGTAATTATAGTATAACATATTATATTTTTGTATAAATAAAATAATGTATTATATTAAATATTATATTATTAAAATATTATATTAAATATATTGATCTTATATTATATTAATTATTATATAGTATAGCATGCTAATATAATATAATGTAATGTAATATAATAATTAATAATATTAATTAGTAATTATAGTACAACATATTATATTTTAATATAAAGTAAAATAATGTTTATATTATAATAATATACTAAATAATATATTAAACCAATTGGATAAGTTAATTAGAAGTAATTAATAGATAAAATTATATTTTAATAAGGTGTCACATCATCAATTATCTCATATGAATTGTCAAATCAAAGGCTCAAATTGTCTCATTGTCCAACTTTATCCCACTTTGCTCCATTTAAAATATCCCAAATGGATAAAATTGTTCCAATGAAACGGTTTCCCACTTCGGCCCTAATTTGTCCCAACCAATAACCCCCCTAAGACTAAGTGTACCATCAAGTATCTTTTCCTTCTCCATTTCTTGTTTGGTTACAAAATCTCATAATCCCAAAAATGGGTTGGCCCAATCTTATAGGAACCAAGTTGAGTCAAAAGAGTGTTAACCGTACGAAACCCGGTTGATTAAATGACCCATTCAGAAACCCAATTGGAAAACTTTTGTAATTGGCCTAAATATAGAAGCCCCTGCATCTAGTTGTTAACAAGTTGATCCCTAACCCTTTAAGTTAGTTGGGCATTTACTTAAATCCAAGAAACTCAACAAGCTGAAATATAAGCTTAACAGTTACAATTGATTGAGAACGAAGTAGAAGGAAAGAAAGAAGACATAAACCTGAAGATGGGGGTTCTCTCCTTCTAATTGCAGGAGTCTCTCCGCGTATTCCGGCTCTTCAGAGCCCATCGCCATGATCCAAGCAAGTCAAGCTACAGAACACTCGTTTTGTGACGCAGATTCTATTTGTAACTTTAGTGCTGATTTTGGTATATTCTCTCTTTTTTTGGCTGAGTGGCACTTAAATATCCCTTTTTTATTAGTGGGATAATTACTTAAATACCCTATCATTTCACTGTCTTCGCACTTAATTATTCTAAGTTGTCACTCGTTAGAAGGTTACAAAGTTTTCTTTTTTTCCTCCCCTTTTTTCTTTCTTTCTTTCTTTTTTTTTTTTGCCCTTTTTGAAGCTGATGTCTCAATGTAATTTTACTGTTGAAATGAATTTAAGTTCCTGAAATCATGGGAGAGATGTGTTCAATTTGAATAACATTATACACTTCATACTTTGATTTTGTCTAGAGTTAATTGGTTGAATTTTATCTCGGATTTTCAATTGAAATCGATGGGTTAGACAAAGAAATTGGGGGAGTAGTAGTAGTAGGGAATAAGGAGAAGGAAAAATTGAAAGTTTAGTAGATGAAAATGAATTATTTCAATTATATACAAGGAGAGTATGTAAAATAATACTTGTGGCAATAAATATGGTCAAAATACTCCCAAATAACATCTAATAAACACATGGAAATATTTCCAAAAATATTCTCACTTTAAGCCAACAGAAGATACTAACAGGATCAGATTTGGACAACTGGGAGAGAACTTAAAGTGTAAATGTGACGAAACAATACGGTATCCAAGTGCTATTTAGCCCAAAATCAAATATAGCTTCTAGTGTAATCAGATCAGGTCCTCTCTTATTTTTCAGGTTGATCTGAACCGGTCCATCTAATATGGACCGCCCACCCAACCAGCAAGTTGAAATCTTCTAATTTTTGTGGGATCAATATTTTTCCATGTCTAATTGGTCTTCCGAGGATTAGAATGGAGACCTTTAAGAGTTAACCTCCAAGGTATGCTCATTAACACAACAAATAATTAACGTGCATAATGTATTCTTCCAGCCTACTAAAAGTGGGAAGTTTGTCAAAGCACCTATGAACTAGAAGCCGCCAAGTATAAAAAGAAAAAGCAAAACATGTACACTTACATAATCTTATTATTGTACGATGCGTCCTCTTATACCCAAATTCAGGATAAAACAAACATCAGGACTAAAACCTGAAATCACCCACAATTAATTTCTTACAAGACTTGTTATGTGAATCATACTTCCTGCCGAGTCACACCCAAACAATTATCTCAATCGGCGAAAAAAAGTTGCGAAGTTGATGCCAAGGTCTGATACGTAATGCACGAGACATCTTCAAGAAATCAAACAGAACAATTGACGAAGTTGCGTAAATACCACAAGAGTTTCAACTACCATATTAGATGGCGCCGCATTAGAATGCGTCTTTTCAGCCTTTAAAATACCGGAAACAACCACATTACACTGCCTTGCTTTCTTACATCCACCAACTTAGCCAATTGAGTACAAGCTATTCTGAAATCTCAGAAAAATACATGCTCCATTTTCAAGTCAAGAGTAGATCAGCTCATCAATACTAAGGACTCAGGAGTATCACTTTTCCTTACTTAGATCAACTTCCACAACTACAATAGAAAATATTTCTGAAGCCCAATCTTGATCAATTCCAAACCCTGTCAAACAAGCAGGATAGAGCACTTTATTCAGTCTTAGATGGGAAATGATGATTAACGAATATCCCAAAACTAAATTTTACTTGAGTGAAAGAATTGATTTTTTTTTTTTTTTGTATAAAAAGTAGTGCAATACTGACTGGGCCTTCGTCCCTAGATTTTTCAGATTGGTCACATGAGTTCTTTCCTTCCATTCAATTAAGAGATCTTCCCTCAAATTATCCACTAATATACACCCTTCTAAATTATCTCTAGACGCCTAGTTCTAATCCTCCTTATTCCACTAATCATGGTATCAACTTGGCTTAACTGGTATATTTGCAGTGACTGGTGCACATGTCCTAGCTCTTATTCCTTATTTTATTCTCAAAAAGAGTGAGCTATAACCTCTACAGAGTACAGATCATTCATTCTTGTCTTATGCCTTAGGTGTATAAAAAGAATCTGATAGCGTATAACAATCCCATAGATATTACAAGATCATTACACGATTAGCCCAGATAACTTCTATGGATGGCCCTAATGGCAACCGTATTAGTGCTTTATCAGATTACTTATTAAGATACTTCAACTCATTTAAAAAAATAAACAAGGGGTAAAGAAATGGATTAAAGTAACAGGAGATAAGAAAGTAGGTTCAAGAGAAGCGCTACATATCTGACCAACAATCAAAACCAGAGACCAAAATTGGGACATTATATAGGAGAAGACTTTATAATAGAGCTGTACCTTATGGCAGTTTGATAAGCTAGCGATTGGTCTAAGAATTCTGAGAATATGCAAAAGTTTCCTGTGAGTTAGTGCTACCAGCTGGCGCAGTAGAGGAACCAGAAGTAAACGACGGATTGGCTTGATATGTCACAGTATTCATAGCACTGTTAGGTGTTGGTGCAGTTGTAGCTCCAGGGACCGGAGGATTCACCATCGGTGGTCCAGGGAGATTGTTCACTTGCATCGGCATGGAAGGTGCAATAGGTGGGGCCATTGATGGAGGAACAGTTGGAGCAGCTCCATAACCTGAAAGGGTTGTCAAAAGGAAACTTTTTTTTAATTGCCTGCTGAAGTGAGCTCTCACACTAAAACATTTGTAAAGAATTGTACAGTAAGAGCATGTTTAGCAACTGACTTATTTTTACTTATAAGGCTGTTTTACTTGCATGTATTAAGTTACATGCTTAATTGGGTAATGTTTGCTTATTTACTTATTTTTAAAAGTATGAGAAAAATAAGTTGGGATTTTCCAACTTATTATTATTTTTGTTCATTATAAGGTGTTTTACTTGTTGATGTGAAAAGAATCTATTGCTCTCCACAAACCCTTTACCATGCATGATGCATCAACCATTCACTTGATAAACTCCCATCCAATTATTGATGTTAATATAATCAAAGTTCTAATATAATTTTAATAACATTTGATTAATATGAAGATAATTACTTAGTTTCGATATTAATAACTAATAACCAGAAATAATGTGATACATAAATGTATTTTACTTATTATTATTATTATGAAATAATTAATTGGGTTTACACATAGAAACCACCTTTACATGGGGTTACTATTGCAATGTTACACTTTTGGCCTAATTTCCATTTAAAAAATACACAAATACGCATAATATCCTCACTTAATGCACGTGGTAATCGCATGCTCCCCTCTTAACTAAGCCTTACGTAGAGCCACCTAACTAATTGCATGTGACTTAAAGCAAGAGGCATACTGAGTTACAAGCAACCAACTACATCTTTAAAGGGCTATTGCATGTTATCAATACAAAAAGACTATGAACAAGTAATGACAAATGAATTTACAGGTTGAAGTCGGCAGATATCAGGAATATGCTACCATTTTTGAATGCATAACATGTCTCATCTCAAACTAAATAGGCATTCATCATCAAATCTTACTTAAATTGCATAAGACCACCCTTATCCAGTTTTAAATTGCACAAGAGCACCCTTATCCCGTTCCCGATTAATGCAATTTAACTTATACATAACTTTCTTGTCTTTCAACTTCCAAAAGTAATGTACATCACAGGCAGTATGTTATTTTATGCATATTAAAACAGAGCAACAAACATGAAATACTAAAATAAAAAAATATTTCATCCGCATATTAAAGCTAAATCACACTTTGGCATGAATTATTTTACAATTTCAGAAACAATGCACAATGGCGCAAAATAAATCCATAAAACTTTCACCTACTTGTAGTGCCAGGGGGTGGCAAAACTGGGGGTCTAATTCCCGGAACAAACGGAGAGCCTATAGGCATCTGAGGTGCTCCCATCGGCAATGGAAGAATCGGAGGGCGAGGTCTCTGAGGATTTGCTTGGAGAAACTGGTTAAAAGCTGCACCTACTTGATATTGGACTGCAGCCTGCCCAAGGTGCTCCTTAATTTTTTGATCTATTAAACTCTGAGTCTGTTGCTCCTCAAACTGCTGATAGTAGGTACGAACATTTGCCTAAGTGAAAAATAAAATCAGTAAACAAATAAAAGAAGATTGGGAGGTAGGATTAAATAAAAGAATTATGTCAAAATCAAAACCTTGTGCTTGTAGCCGGCATTATGTTGTTTCCTGACAGAAGGCTGCAAGATAAAAAATTGCAGTTAGCAACATGAAATCATTGTAGGACATATACTAGACAGTAATATCTGCACATAATCATTTTTTACATTTGAGCAGGAATCCTACTGCATAAGTTTCAGAACTATAAAGGTAAAAAGCCACCAATCATTATCCCTTTTCCATCAAAATGTTATTAGAAACTTGACATGAGTGTCCAACTTGGAGACATAGGTTCAATGTTGGACTAGAGAGCTGCCCAAAAACCATATATACGTAATACTTCTTTTAATACATGTACCAACTCTTAAATGTACACGTGGAATTGTTATAATTGAAAGAATCTACTTTTAGTAAATTATCGCCATTGTCAAAGAGCATACTGTGTTTTGTCTTATACATCATAGTCAACATGTTTGGTCACATGATTCCATGAAAAATCTTGACAAAATTTGCCACCCTATGTCCACCTGATGTCAACACTCTTAACTTGCCATCTAAAATCCCAGTTGAACCTATGAATGAAAAAGAGGCATTTGGTAAATCCAAAGAGACCCACCATCTCAGCTAGGTAAAACCATTCTTACACTCACAGAACAGATAAACTACCATCCAAATTCTCCCAGACTAATGCAAGGTCTAGAAAAGTATTTTTCTTTTTTTTTGTTTTTTTTGTTTTTTTTTTTTTTTGGGGGGGGGGGGGGGGGTAAAAATTGCGTCTATCCTTATACATCACAATCGACACGTTTAGCCACATGATTCCATGAAAAATCTTGCCAAAATTTTGCTACCCTATGTCGACCTGACGTCAACACTTAAACTTGCCATCTGAAATTCCTGGTTTAAACCTATGAATGAAACAGCGGCATTTAGTAAATCCAAAGAGACCCACCATCACAGCTAGGTAAAACCAAGGTTTTAAATATCGGATGTCGGGTTCATGTCGGACGGCTGAAATCCATGTCGGATAGCGGAAATCGGGGATATATCGGGGGACATGGACTAAATATCGGATTGTCATATCGGGTGATCCACATATGTATAATATCATGCCCTAAATGTAATCTAACTATCTAAGCATTCCTAAATTCATAACTTCATGACTCTGCACATTTCAACATTCATATGCACATTTAAAATAAAATAAATCTCTCCTTATTAATCAATAATCATTAGCCTATTATTAATCAATTAGCCTATTATTAATCAAGTGATCAAACATCAAGTAATCATTAGCCTATTATTAATCAAAATAGTCCACAAACCAAACATTCACGTGTGAAGAAGAAAAAAAGAAAAAACAGGAAAATCGGCCGATATGGCCGATTTTCCAAACAGGAAAATCGGCCGATATGGCCGATTTTTCGCCGATATGGCCGATATGTCGGTAAAAAACGATATGCGACTTGTTTTTCCCCGATTTGTGTCGTTGGACCCCTCAATCCGCTATATCGGCCGACATGTCCGACATGTCGGCCGATATTTAAAACACTGGGTAAAACTTATCTTAAACTCACACAACAAAGAAACCACCATCCACATTCTCCCAGATTAATACAAGGTCTAAAAATAAAAAAAAAGAACAAGAAGTAAGATTTGCTACAAGGAATTGCATTCAACCCCAAGATAAATATATAAACCCAAGACCTAGAATGAATTCCTGTTTGAAATTGTTAATATAAAACATAAATTGATATATCAGATATGACCAACATTACAAGTGTACAATTACGAGGAATAAGAATTAAAAAGAAACGGGTGCTTGAGTCGAGATTTCACATAGAAAGACAACATGGCTACTATCTCATGAGGAATAGAAGTAGAACACAACCAACATGGAACAGTACTCAGAAGAAAGGAGAGTGAGTTTTAGTTTGCTCTGACGTTTACATAAAGTTTTCACCTACGGACGAGAGTTAGGGAATCTATCTCCTAGGTGAGTAAGTCCTCATCTCTATTTAAGTAACTTTACCAGGATAAAAATATCAATGATATTATTATCACCTCAATAATGAATAACTTTTCCAAACATAAATTGACAAATAACTATTGTAATTGGGTGTTGGAAAGCAAGAAACATATCTAACAACGATGTAACAACTCAGGCCAACTAGGCTCCCAAAACCAAATTCCATGCTTCTAGCTAGTTTTTATTAAAATTTCAAATTCGACCAGTTTTTCCCCCAATTCCGTATATAATAAATTTCACACCACAAACACATATAGAGACTCCCTTCCATTTGGGAAGTCTTAACCTCATGCATCTCCATTCTCTCAAGGGAAAACATGGAATTAAAAATCTCCAGTGCATAAAAGATAACCCAATGAAAACGGAGGACAGTAAGTAGCCAAACTATACACAAAAAAATGGGGAAAAAAAAGAGGAGAAAAGAAAATTCAACCTCACATTCAAGGGACAGCCATTAACAATAGAGCTAAAGCATAAACCCTAATGTGAATTCTGAACGCTTAAACTCTCCAAATAATTCAAGGAGAAAATCATAAACCCTAAGCCCTTCCCTTTTTCTCAAAATAAATAAATAAATGAATATAACCTAACCCCTAACATTTCTTTATAAAAAACGCATCTAATCGTCGCACTATAACCTCATCATCAATTACAGAAAACAGGAAATAATTAGGAAAGCCAAAAGAAGAAAAAACTCACAGAATCGTGGGTCAAATAGGTGTCGCAGTAGTCGCAGTAATACCTGCAAAATTACAAGAAAAACGAACAAATTGTTTATCTTTTAGAGGGAGGACAAAAAAAACAAAAAAACAAAATTGACCGGATTTTTATTGGAAGATGCGAGCATTGAAACATTACCGAGGCATTGCGTCGGCGTTCGTTTCACAGTTGGGTGGCGTATCGCGGGGCGAAGGCAGGAGACTCGATGCACACCTCGACTGGTTGCGAGAAGGTTCTAGTAGCGGATTCAAATCCCCCAACCCGGATCCGAACTGAGTTGTCTTTTTTTTTGTTAATTACAAATAGACCCCTTGTCGTATCATGTAATTGTGAACAGACCCCTGCTGTTCCATACGGGATTTATGGGTCTCCTTAAACATTTTTAACGATCAAGAGTCAAAAAATATTCACGTATTTGCAAAAATACAACTTCAAAAATCCTATTCGAGATTGGGTGATGCTACGAAATTTTTGATCATACTTAACCCCTTTTTAGTTTAGATATTGAGCACTTAATTTTTATTTTTCAAATTGGCACTTCATATCACTGAAATTACCACCTTCATTAGTTTTCTATCCAATTTCATTTATTTGAGGGGGAGATATCCTCAATTCATTTATTTATTCTTCCTCAAAAATATAAAGTTTTTCTCTCCTCTTATGTAAAAGGATTACGGGAAGAAGATACCGAGAGAGAAGAAACCAACTTATTTATTTATTTTAGGAAGAGATATCCTGTTCATTTATTTATTCTTCCCCAGAAATATAAAGTTTTCTCCTCTCTTATGCAAAACAGATTACAGGAAGAAGATGACATCAAGAGAGAAGAACAATTTTTGTTTGGGTTTAAATGATTTTGGATTTGGATTCAGATTTAAGGGGGAAAAAGAGAAGAAGAAGCAGAAGAAATGAAGTCAATTCAAAAAAATTAAGGTTAATAATGGAATATTGGCTTCAATCCGCACTTCACTGATAGCTGACATGACTTTGGAAACCAAATGCCCACTTCAATAATGTGGAATGATAATTTGAAAATATGAAAGTTTAAGGAACCAATATGTAAAGATCCCAAATGTGCAGCAGCTGGGAACCTGATTTCTCACGTTTAAATGTTCGAACTGAGGGGAAAACCCGCCTAATTCTACTAACAACCCAGCCCACAATAACACCATGAACAAAAAACCTCCATCCTTCAACGCCTCAAACTCCAAACCCGACCCAATAACCAACCTCTTCACCCAAAACCGGATCCAAGAAGCCTTCTCTCTCTGCCTCCGAACCCGTTCGCTCTCCTCCGCCCACAAACTCCGGTCACTCATCTCCACCCTCCCTCACTCCATCACCCTCACCAACCGCCTCATCGACCTCTACTCCAAATGTGGGTCCCCCTCACACGCCCGAAACATGTTTGATGAAATGCCAACCCGGGACCTCTGCTCCTATAACACCCTCATCAAAGCCTATTCCTCCGCCTCCGACCTCAATCAAGCTCGAAAGCTCTTCGACTCGATGCCAACTAAAGACCACTTTTCATGGTCCTCTATTATCTCAGCTTATGATCGTAATGGTCATCCTCTCGATGCGATGGAGTTGTATCGAGAGTATCAGAGTGAAAATGTTGCTGATAAGAATAATAAGTTTGTGATGTCGGCAGCTTTGACTGCTGCGGCGAGAATTGGGTCATTGAGATTGGGGAAGGAGATGCATGGTCAAGTTGTGAGATGTGGGGTTGAATTGGATAAGGTGGCTTTGAGTGCGATCGTGGATATGTATGCAAAATGTGGGAAAATTGATAATGCTAGATATGTATTTGATGAAATGACTGAGAGAGATGTGGTTTCTTGGACTGCGATGATTGGGAGGTATTTTGATGCAAAGAGGAAGAATGAAGGGTTGGGATTGTTTTGTGAGATGTTGAGGACTGGGATTGAACCAAATGATTTTACTTTTGCTGGGGTTTTGGATGTTTGTGGAGAGATTGCTGCCGAAGGACTGGGAAAAGAGATACATGGGCATATGATAAGAGTTGGGTTTGATTCAGGATCGTTTGCTACTGCTGCTCTTGTTGATATGTACTCAAAATGTGGGAATGTTGAGAAAGCGAGGGTGTTTTTTGAAAGGCTATCGAATCCGGATGTAGTTTCTTGGACTTCATTGATTTCTGGGTACGCACAAAATGGGCAACCTGATAAAGCTCTAGAAAGTTTTGATCGACTTGTTAAAACTGGATTGAAACCTGATCACATTACTTTTGTTGGAGTTCTATCAGCTTGTGCACATGCTGGATTGGTTGATCGAGGAGTTGGAATATTTCATTCGATTCCTAAAGAGTTTGGAGTTATGCACACTGCTGATCACTATGCCTGTGTTGTTGACCTTTTGAGTCGGTCTGGGCGGTTTCAAGAAGCAGAGGAGATTATTAATAAGATGCCAATGAAACCCGACAAGTTCTTGTGGGCTTCTTTGCTTGGTGGTTGTAGAATTCATAAGAACCTTCCCCTTGCAAAGAGAGCAGCTGAGGCATTATTCAAGCTTGAGCCAGAGAATGCAGCAACATATGTTACTTTGGCAAATATTTATGCTTCAAATGGTAATTGGAATGAGGTGGAGATGATTAGAAAGAGAATGGATAAGGTAGGAGTAGTGAAAAAGCCAGGAGCGAGTTGGATTGAGATCAAGAGGAGGGTTCACGAGTTCTTGGTGGGAGATTATTCTCATCCAAGAATCAAGGAGATTATTTCAGAATTAGAGAGACTTTATAAAAGGATGAAGGAATTAGGGTATGTTCCTGATACAAATTTCGTGTTACATGATGTGGAAGAGGAGCAAAAGGAGTCGAATCTTACTTATCATAGTGAAAGGCTTGCAGTGGCTTTTGGAATCATTGCAACTCCAAAGGGGACTCCTCTCAAGGTCTTCAAGAATCTCAGAATTTGTGGAGATTGCCACACCGCAATCAAGTTCTTTTCTCGCATTTCTGAGAGAGTAATTGTGGTTAGAGATTCGAGCAGATTTCATCATTTTAAGGATGGAGTGTGTTCGTGTGGAGATTATTGGTAGTAGTCTAGTCACTCAAGATTGCTCTGATCGAATTGTCACTCAGATGTTATAGAAATCAGGTGCCATCTCATAAGGATTATATATTAACTCCTTATATATATATGAAACTTTGTGACTGTCAGATTGTTGAAACAGATCGACTACAACAACTGAAACATTTTCGGATCCTTGTGATTTGGCTGCTTAAGCCTTCAGCAATAAACTTTCGAGTTCAGTAAAGGCAAAGGGAGAGGTAAGGCCTCATATTTGATAATACATTTCATATATTTAATGATTTATTTTATTGCTTCTTTGGATAACTTCTATATTTACAATACTGTGTTTTTTGTTGAATGCATGTAGAATATGTGTTATTATCAGATTTAGTTTTTTTTCCTGGTTTGTATGAGCAGCATATTTATTAATAACATGTGATGCTTTATCATGCATATGTGACACAGAATAAATTATTAGAACATAGAATGCTTTGTATTACATTTGTACGGTTGAATGATTAGAGATGCTTTTCATTCACCTGAGTATTGTGTCTGAAACTATTTGTGATTTTTGTCCAGATTAAGATGAACTTTGGGCTGTCAAATTATGCAGTCTTCTTGATTCGGGCACCATGGGCTCGGACCAGTGTTGCAAATGAACAGAAACGCTCCTGGTTTATTTTAATGAATGAACAATTATTGGTTGTCCTGTGATGACATTATTCTCGTATAACATGCGGGCTCCAATCTTCTCTTGACAATTAGTCCTGATCAGAATTTGTTTGATGGAGTTATCATCGAGAATGATCTCCTCCATTGATACCCGATGTCAACATCTTGGCCACTAATCGGATCGTTATGCCACCAAACTCAAAGTTGAATATTCTTCTCACCCCTCCAAACGTCATGTTGGCATCTAGTACACATCCTTAATGAGAGTGCATAACCACTTAAGGTGTGGCGTGGGCTCGAACTCAGCCTGGTTGTCTAGTTGCAGCTCCCCTGACCAAGGTTCCCTTGTTGCCATTAAAAATAAAACAAGAGTGCATATGGACATTGATTCCTCACTTTTTATTAGATAATACATCCATTGAAATGATTTATAATGTTGGCCCTGTTCAGTTTTAATCTGAGTCTCTCTCTCTCTCTCATCGGAGAGATTCCCATCAATACTTAAGTCATATTGTTTTTTTATTTTTTTACTTCTTGATTTTTCCTCAATGCGCGCAGGGGGGATAACTTTCAGGGTCACTGTTTCCCAGCAATGGACTTGAGTTTCCCCTTTTTTTTCTTGAGTAGCAAAAAATGCCTTTGAGTGTTCTACCTGAGTTTCCCAATTATTTTTAGGGAATAACTTTCAGGGTCACTGTTTCCCAGGTCCCAGCAGGGTGCTTAATGCACTTGAGTTTCCCAATTATTTTTTTCTTGACTAGCAAAAAGTGCCTTTGAGTGCTCTACTTATCATTTGGATGAACTAAATTGTTTTTCGGCTTTCAACCAATTTTAAAAGAAAGTGCAATGAGTAGCTACTTTGTAAGAATAATATTACTTTTGTATTAAGAGACACAAAAACTTTTGCGGAGTTTTTTCTTTTGAATTGCAGCGATATATTCTTTTGTCCTGTTCATAGAATAATAATATAACTCAGTTAAAAACTTTACTCACTTCCCAAAAATTCACATTACCACTCACAATCACTTGACAGTCCTTTCCTGTAACAGGGTCCCATGACTCCCACATTACCCCTCCAACTTGGAGGGAATTAGTATTTGGTGGTGACACATCATCTCTTTGGGTGACACGTCACCCTTTTTCATTTTCAACCAAACTAGGAAAGTTTTGGAAAGTTGATGTGGACCCCACAAACCCTACTTTCCACCTTTTTCTCTGAAAAAATGCAGTGAAACAGCCCCTAGCACAGAGTTTGACCATTCATTGATTGGTGCCTTGAATCAATCATATATCATTCACTACAAAAAAATTGGTATTTAACAGCGATTTTTTTCACATCTAACAATGTTTTAGAAACATTGCAAAGTTGAGCACCAACAATTGGTGGAAATGTTCCAACAGCAGCTGTAGGTAGTAGGGCATCAACATTTGGTAAAAACATTGGCAATGCTCTAACGTTTCTAGTTGAAAATGTTGGTTGTGCCAATTTTATCCAGCAAGCCCACATGCGTTGTCATTTATTTCAAGGGCACACATTACTCTACAATTTATCTAGAAGCCCACATAGGGGCTGTTTGGTTGTATGTTTTTACCATGTAAAAGGATGGAAAGTGTAAAAAAGTGGGTCCCAATGACAGCTTTCATCACTTTCAATTGTTTGTTTGTAGTTGTGAAAATAGTGTAAAGTGATTTCATATGCTGATGTGGCTTGTAAAGTTCTTTCATAAAAAAAAGACATGATTTTAGGAGAAAGCTAACATTGAAGTCAGAAAAAATAATAAAAAATAATTCCAACCAATATGATCATTTGAGTAGGGACCACTTTTTACACTTTCCAAACAAACAATTAAAGTTACATTTGCAAACCAAACAAGCAATTTATGATTCCGATGGAATCAAAAACAAACAAAGAAAAGTATACAAGTGAAATTGATGAGGTGGACAACAACTTTCCAAGTTGTGTCATAAATACACAATTTTACCAACAACAACCAAACAGCCCCATACCTTGTGATTACTTCAGGGCCCACACAATACCCTTATTTTTCTTACAGCTCAGCCACATTAGTTATTTCAAAGTCCACAATCCCTTATTTAATTCAAACCCACGAATAACAATCCAGTTTGTAGAAACAACAGAGACCACTGTGAACGTAAATATTATCCAAAGCCCATCAACAAGGAGCCAAAGGGAAATCCTGGGGAGTTCATACGAAGAGCTTCCCTTCTCTTCTGCAACTATGTTTTAAATACCTCATATTATTTGAAACTATCCGATGTGGGACATACATTATCTGCCAAAAAATTTAGAGAAAACATTGATAATTCCCAATGTTTTTGGTGCAAACATTGATAATTCCCAATGTTTTTGGCGCAAATGTTGGTAATTCCCAACGTTTGCTCAAACGTTGGTAATCAAACATTGCTAGCTACCACTTATTTTGTAGTGATTCATATTTAGAAAATGATTCGATTGTGCATGATTATATAATTAGTGCCATGCAATTAGTGTTATGAATCACTCCTATATACCTTGTATGGATGTGTATAAATAGTTTTTTCAAAAAAGATATGTATAAATAGGCATGCATTTGTACCACACAAGAAAATATGACAATCATTCCTCATTTTTTCTTCTCTTTTATGCATTTCTTTTAATTGAAAATTATTAGGTATTGTTCCTTAATGTTCTTCAACATTTTTTTTGGACTTTTTAAGTTGTGAAATGACCCAACCAATACACCAAAAATTTGAAGTTATGGTGAGGATTGAGTGTTATTGTCTTATATTCTAACATGCCTCCGCACATCGAGCATCCTTTTATAACTCGAAACTTGGACTCATACAGTAGTGTCATTTTTAGAAAATCTGCTTTAAATTTGTGGCCGGTGAGATTTGAACTTGGGTTGCTCTAATACTATCTTAAAATTCCTAACCACTACACCAAAATTTCAAAGTTATAGTGAGGGTGTAGGGATATATTTTTATATTCTAACAATGCCCATAAGGTTAGCGCTCCTTTTATGAACTAAAATCTAGACTAAAGTAGCAGTGTCAATTTTTAGAAAATCTGCTTTAAATTCGTGGCCGGTGGGTTTTGAACATGAGTTTCTTTGATACCATGTAAAAGGACCCAACCAATACACCAAAACTCCGAAGTTGTGGTGAGAGTTGATGGTTATTGTTTTATACTCTGAGATGGGTCATTATGTTTGTTTTGTTTCTGTTTTTGTATTTGTAGAGTGTCCACAATTGAACTCTTTGCCACAGGATATACAAACATCAACAGTCAAGCAAAGAGCAAGTGCTTGTACTAAAAGAGTGAAGTTGAAGCAAGGGATTGGAAGGAGATCTTGCTTAATTAGTTACGAGTTATTAATCAATGATTCTAAACGTTCTAGGTATTGGAATGCCTTGCTACAGGCTATTGTAGTTTATTTGCTGACCTGCTGTCGAAAAATTTCCAAACACTTCCTTGTGGCTTCTGACTAGATTTTGTATTTTTTTAGTTTATGCCTCACACCATTTAGCTATGGAATCCTGAACTATAGACCCGTCTGTTAGGCTCTGGTTTGTATAGGAATTATTTTCCAATGTGTTGGGTTGCATCTTGCATATTCCTCAGAACATCTGTTGATATATGTAAGATATCAGACATAATTTGTCAGAAATAATTTGCTTTTCTATATATCCATTGTTGGATGAGGCTCATTAACTGAACTATCAGTTAACCCCTTATATCTATCTCTTGAATTTTCTTGTATGTGTCCTTTTAATGTCCAATCCTCCATTACTTCCTGTGTAACCTTATAGATAAGACAGGAAGTTCAACACAATATGCAGGAAATGATTATCAAATTAACGGAAAGGAAACTCAGCTTTAGCATCTAGAGAAAGTTGTTCAAGAAATACTCGAATGTAAGGATTAGTTACTGAGGAGTGGTTGTCATTCCTCCAGGTGAAATACATTAATTATAATAAAACCTCTAAGCCCTAAATAGTTAGGTACTTAGGTGGGTACTTTATTTTAGTCTTCCAGTTCCTTCCTCTTTCTTTCTACTGTACTCCTCCCTCTTTTCGTCCTTCCCCTCTATGTATATTTTGTATCTAGCTTCTCTAGTTAACAAATCCCTGGGCATCTTTCCCCGGTTACTCCAGAAAAGAAAAAGAGACATACCGTCAAAATTTGCTATTGTTTTGGGGCAATTCTGTATTGTATTTGTATGGAAGTTAAGAACACATCTCAGAAATCTGCCATGTAGGTATCTGTTGTGTTTCTCATTTACTACAAGTGCATAGAGAGACATCTATAAGCACATACTAAAGGTTACATTGTTTACTTTGACGACATGCTTTAGGGTCATATATATGACTTAATTCCAGGTTATGCGTACCTTTTGGATTTTTTGACAACATATATCTTTTTTATCTCAGCTGTTAACCTATGTTTGTTCTTTGAAATATACTTCCTTTACATTAAGTATTTTAAAATTTTGTCAACAGAAAATCAGTACTTTAGCAGTAACCCAACTCCAAGTTATTTTGGGCTGGAAGTTGAATTCACTATGTGTCGGGAATACAAGTACCCTTCTTCGAGCTCTTGGCAGGAGGTATGAAAACCACATATATAATATCAACTACCAATCCGATCAATTTTGTTGTCCTAATTTTTGCTCATGTTGCTATGGAGGCAGACTTACTTCCTACTCTGCATGTTGTTCAGTATGAAAACCACATATATGATATCTCGCAATAGAAGTTCATTATCAAAATATTGAGCTAGTCATAACACTAAATATTCATATATTTTATGCTGTGAAGTTCGTCGTGGAGTTTTCTTGGTTTTGCTTATGTTCGAAGGATTATGATTTCCTCTTAAACTTGGCTAAATTTTAGCATCTAGATTAGGGCTTACCATCCTTAAAAACCTTTTGAGACTATAGATTAGTAGATGACGCTCACTTTATCAAAGTACTGTATGATTTGTGTTCTTTTAATGTTCTCAGTTTTTTTCTGGTCATTGTTTTATAAAAAAAATTCAAAGTGGTACCAATATCCATCAGAAAAATAATAATATTTGAGTAGGCTAATCTCTTATTGACCAAGTCGTAACACCAATCTCAAGAAGAGTAGAGCAATCTCTAAATATTTACTCCGATATATATTAGTATCACTTTGTTTGTAAAAACAAATTAGGAGGTGCATGCTTCCAGAAATTTATTTCTTTCTGTTAATTACTCTTGTTAAAAGAAACCCCTGATTAGTAGAAAGCAAAATAAAATAAAATAAATAAATAGACATCAAGAATCAAATGTAGAGAGATATCAATTTAATTATCTTTCTAATGTATTACAAAATTGAAGAGAAAGAAGATGGTATCTTGGGTCTCCAGACAATGTTCTGGAGCCCTCCTCCCTTTCAAAAATAAAAAAAATACAGAGGACCTTGTCGTTGTTGTTTCAAATTCTAAGTCTCTCTTTCTTTTCAATCTCTCCGTCTTTTCTCTATCTTTTTTTTGTCCTTTTTTGTTCTTATCTCTCTATCCTTTTCAATGGCAAATAAGTTCTCAATTTATAGGAAGACAATGGGAAGTTACTGCCATGTGTTTGAAAGGGATTGGTGGGGGAGTTACTATAACTTCCTTGTTGAAACTTCCTTATCAAGATTGCTGCATTCGTTTATCATAACGAACACTTTATTTGCTTTTCACTTCTCATATGTCCATCTGGTTGTCTTTCATGTTTCTAAAATAAGTGTAATGGAGAGCCCATATCCCTACAATTTGAAATTAGATTCGTATGAGGGTGGGTATCCTCGAGTTAGATTTTATAGTCAAGGCTTATGATCACATGTCATCTCTTGAAATTGATGGGTATCCTCAAGTTTGAAAATTTGATCAATATGAAGCGATGAGGCATGTGTTTCCTGTGTTGGATTAATAAAAGGTTCACATACTCTCAATTTTACATGAGGTGATGTCATCCTCAACTTGATTTTCATTTATATGAGGTATTATCCCTCATATTGATTTTGATTGATAAGGCTTGTTCAGCTCATCCACTTTGACAGCTACAAGGGGAAGGCGTGCCCCTTTGAATTAATTAATATGGAGGGTCTACCTTCATTAGTTTAGATTTATATGTGGTACTATATCTCATATTAGTTTTGATTCTTTTTATGAGGTACTATCATCCTCACAATAAGTTTCATTTATTGGGCTTGTTGATAAAAAGCAATTTTTTTTGTGTCTACACCTACTAATTGTTCTGTTACATTTTCATCCATCACGAACTCCATACAAATTTATATTGCTCTTATCACGTTTTTTATTTATCTCATCCAACATGCTCAACATGGAGATCGTAAGAGCATGGACTTAAAACTTACCACCATGTTGTTTTGTAAGTTCAGTTGGGATTTGAGTGCACATTTTTGGTTGGGGATGTGTACATTATATGTAACAATCAGTTTATGTTAATTTAGCTGGCTGGATTATTGTTATGGTAATCCATCCTTTTTCTCAAAAAAAAAAAAAAGCTTACCACCATGAGAAATCTAAGACACTGTATGGGAACTGCTAATCTGCTAAAATAATTGTTCTTTGTTCTTTTTACATGTTTATTGAGACGTTAGAGTACTATGGACACTGATTAGTTGTTTGTCATCTCATTTTGTCAGCAAAATCATGCAATTAAATTGTTTGAACTATCATGTCAATTAGCATATGATATATCTACTTAATTGATAATTGTTGATGGTACGCCTTGTCATTGTGTTACATTGAATAACTTAGGCAAGTAAGGCAAGCAGACAGATTTAGCTGGGCTGCTACTCATGGTGTAGATGAGGAGGAGCTACTTGAGAACTTGTCAGAAGATCTTCAGAGAGAGATACGGAGTCATATCTTCAATTTTCTTAAAAAAGTGAGTCTACAATATAAGATTTCGTCCTTTTTTAAAAGGAAAATAGCAGAAGTGTGTTCTTGTTTGCTGTTTTCTTTATAGTTTATGCTATTAATGCTCTACTATCCAAGATTGAATGCTGCACTTGCAAAGGCAATATTGTTAAAGTAACATTATTTCACACAATTAGAAGGTTACTCTTAAACCATAAGAAACAAAGATGAGTATGTCGAAATCATCTTTGAGATAAAACCAGAAACATAGCTCTATATTTGTGTGCATGGATTAGTTTAACTAGAAGTCAAGTGCTGCCTAGGATATTATTGCCAATTTTACAATGATGAAACAATATATATCTGAGCTAGTTTGCTTCAAGTTCCTTGAAATGCCCGACTGTTTCCTTCCAAGACAATGGGCACAGTGATGGCTACAAGATTAAATAATGGACTGGTGTTCTTATGAAGGCTTTTGTCTCTGTCACAGTTATAAGTAAATAGGACGTCAAGTACCAAAAGGCAAGTTTACTTTGCATTTTTGCAATCACCTTCGGACATGTTTGATTTTTATCTTTTACACGTTACGCAGCTCCTTGTGTTTACATTGGATTAACCCATCACTGATGCTATTATTGAAAAATTAAGGCCACGGTTCTACATAAGTGGAAGTGACTTCCTTTACCAAGGTGGTCCTATTGAAAAAATAGCCTTTATAGTGAGGGGTAAAGTGGAAATCATTGGAGCAGATGGACATACAGATACAGATGGACATACAGATCCTCTGTCAGAGGGAGATGTTTGTGGTGAAGAGCTTCTAATGTGGTATCTTGAACATTCTTTCAGTGCATAAAGGTAATCTTATTGAATTTTTCTGTAAGCCTGCTTATATGTTAATACTCATTAACGTGGTCACTGGTCAAGCTGTCTGTATGCCTTGTCTATTGTTATATTTGAGTAGTAAAGAGAACAAAAAGAGTAAGCAAGCATCTATTGGAATTTGATATCAGATTAATGAATGGGCATGTTATCCACTTGGAGTTCACGTAGTTATATACTAAAAAACCTAACATGGTGTAACAAAAAGTTAATTGTTTGCTATTTTGTGCATGACACAAAATATTGTTGGAAGTTCAATTGATATGTATCATTAATTTACTATTGACGATAACATATTTTTCTTAAATGTTTATCTTATGCTTTCGTCAAATTTCTGAAAGAAATTGCTAAGTAATTCTCACCTATGCTACTTGTTTGCATATTTCTTTATGCAGATGTCGCGACAATTAGGTTCCCTGGAAACCACTTATTTTCTACAAGGACAATAAAATGTTTAACTAATATCGAGGCCTTTGTGCTCCAAGTTGCTGACTTCGAGGAAGTCGCCATATTATTTACAAGATTCCTACGCAACCCTCGTGTTCTGGGAGCAATGAGGTAGATATTTGCTAAAAAACTAGGAAAACATGTCATTTCCTTTGCAGTTAACTTATAGAACTTGCATCCATGTTGCTATATCCACTCCCAAACAGTAATTTTGGGAGTGAGTTGCCGAAAATGCCCTTTTGATGTTGAGGGTGTTTCTAGAATGGACTTGGCCTGTTTTGGTTTGGGAGAAGGACAATTTAGTCCTCACACCCCCCCCCCCCCCCCGCCCCCCCCCCCCCCCCCAAAGTTACTGTTTGGGAGTGTGAATAGTTGGACCCAACTTGCATCTAGATTTTTTTTGTCCTTTGAGAGTTATTTGATGCCTGACACCTTTGAGAGCTGAATGCTAGTTCAAATAGAAATAACACTTTGATATACATTTATGAAATGACTTTGTGAATTTGAACTGGTATTTTGACAAATTCTTAACTTCCAACAATAATAAGTCGTGTTTTAAGGTGAAAGAGGAAAAATCCACAAATTCATATATCCTGTAACGTGCTAGCTATATGGCAAAAGTGCCCGATGGGACACAAACATGAGATCAGGACACAAAATCTGCAAAATGCAGGATATAGGTATTTTTCTATTTGGAGTGTATATATGTATATATAGGAGTATTTCATTTATGGATGTCTGTTTGAGTGCGCATTTGCATGTGCATATTTTTACGGGCAAATTTAAGTCAAAGTAATTTGTTTCCTTGGATCATTGTTGGGAAGCAATGAGGAGTCTGCACTCTTGTCGACAGAAGAGGTGATTCTTCTCTTGCATCTTGGTTGCATTAAAAAGGGTATAATTTTTTTTGCTTTTTTACTCATTCACTATTGGTTTATGGGGCTTATAATTAAAACAATTCTAAAATCTCTTGAATATAGCTAGAGAAATACTGTCCACCTGTGTTTTAAACCTGAAAGCTCAACGTTTTGGACGTAGCTGTATTTCCAACACGAAATTCTTCATGGGTCCATGCAGTGTTGGTATCGCATACATGTTGAATACGGGTAGAAGAGCCAGAAATATATGTGCTTTATTGGGTGGGAGACACCAAAAAATGCACTAGCCTAATAAATTGTTGACAAATATTCACATAATATGAAAAACATCCTCATAGATGGTATGTGGACTGGGAACAGTGCAATAAATTCAGTTATTTGAACAATTACTACATGCGTGATATGAAACACATAAGGAAAGATAAGAATATTGTGAACAGAGTCAAATGTGCGCACTTTGGTATTCATCATCCCATGCCTCGGCTTTTGTCCGATCACTGTTTTTGTATAAATAAATGCACTAGGCGTTTAGTTCAGGCCGGCTTTTCTTTTCTTTTTTTTACCTAGAGATCATCAAAGGTGCTCGAAGACAGAGTGATCGATTAATTGGACTTCAATTTTCATAAGAAGCTTACACTAATATCTAGGAGTAGAGCATTGAGGTATGCGTATATAGCTATAAATCAGGGGACAAAGCATGTTATGGAGCAACTGATGATCTAATTTCAGAGAGCATTAAAAATGCACTAGCCTGAGTGAAATATGTGACAAATGTTCACAAAACCATCAAAAATATTTAGAAATTTTATGTAATTCTAAAAGGATACAATTATTTCATTCATTTTAACAATTGCTATATATGAATCATAATAAATACGTAGAACACGAGACGTCGTGAACATAGGAAAATATACATCTAGGCCTTGAACAGAAAGGTTCGAATATAGAGTCGTTGTTAAAGATCCCTTCCACTACATAAAATCTGTGGAGCTGTGGTGAGAGATGAGGGTTGTGACTTCTACACTCTAACATGCTCCTATAAGTTGAGATTCCATAGGTCGAAACTTGGACTCATGCAACAAAATTTTTCTAAATCCTTTTAAATTTTTGGCTGGGCTTTGAACACGGGTGACCGGTGGGATTTGAACATGGGTTTGCTCTGGTACCCTGTCAAAGAATCTCTTCCATTACACCAAAACTCCAGAATTGTGGTGAGGGTTGAGGGTTATAATTTTATACTCTAATGATTATAAGTAGTGTACAAAGCATATTATGGAGCAATATATGACCTAATTTCAAATTAAAATAAAAAGATCAAATTAATAAGGCATGGAAAGAAGCAAGTACGAAGTATTTCCAATGTCTAAGTTGAACCAAAGGAAAGATGAAAGGTCCTTCTTTTTAGTACTAGTAAGTAGAGGCACCGGAGCACATGGGCAAATGCTTGAGGAATCTTCTAACATTGGACTCTATTAGATGGACCTTAATCTTTGATTGCATGCCATCTGATGTGAAGGTGTCCCCTATTCTAGTTTTACTTTAGTTCTGGTCATGCCTTGATTGGAATCAAGATCTGGTAGCTCAACACTATTTCCTTTAGTGGCAGTTCTCTATTAAGTTGTAATAGTATTTTCAGATGAAAATTTAGTCTATGGGCTGTAGAAGATTTTTGTGAATTCACACGGACCAGAAAGTGGCAATTAAGTTAATTTTATTATAACCTCTTCGGTATGAGGCACAGAGATTTTTTTGTAAGTTGTCAGAGAAAGTCCAGATTTACTAAACCAGGAATCTTCACATAATCGGGAAAACACAAATGATTGCACAGACACGCACACCTCCAGCTCATTGATTACCATTGGAATCAACCTAAAGAATAATAACAATCACTTGAATAATACTGATTTATTTTTATACAGAAGAACGATGATAAAAGCATCCACGAGTTGTTATACTTTTACATCCTTAAAAATCGCTATGCATCAACTCTCACAGCAACTCAGAATTGTGGTATATCATGATAAATAGGCGTTCGATCTGGATATGTGTTAAGAGTGCAAAGTTTGGCTTTCAGCTATCTCCATCATTTTGGAATTTTGATGAAGGGGCAGAGATTTTAATCTATTATATTACTATCAGTATCCATTGTCATGTCAAAATACTTGCTCGTTTATTTTTCCTATGAACATAGGTAATACTTGTTCTTCGTCTTTTGGGGGCATTCTCTGCCCTTGGAGATCTTTAGCATTGACACCCTTACATTTTTTTAATAAAGATGTGAATCACCAAACTGGGAAAATATGGATGACATGCTCATTCAGGTTGACGGAGGCCACTAAAGTGAACTGAGAGCTCCAAAGTTCGATCAGTTCATCAAACTTCGCGTGCTTCTGGGTAGTAAGGAGATGACCGACCTGTAGATGTGTAAACTTTGTCCTTTCTTGCATGTTCTTATTCTTATTATGTGTGTGTATATTCTTTCTTATAATTAATCTAGATGGATGACACATTCAACGCTGTGATGTAGTGTTTATTTGCTTTAATCTACTAAATATATTCTGTCTTGTAATCTGGATGGGCGACACATTCAATGTTGTGATGTAGTGTTCATTCGTTGTGATCTACAAGTTTTAAGTGAACTTCAGGCATCTGTATCTGATTGGTACATCCATGACATATCATTGAGAAGTCTAGCTGTTGGCGAAACTAATGGACAAGAGTATACCTATAATTTTGGAGAGTATGTTTGCAAGGCAGCCCTTTTGTTCAGGTGCTTGTGTTTGTTAAAGATCTTAGGAAGTGCAGCAATCCTTGTTTCAAGCGTGTGCTTAGGCGAAATTTATAAAAGAGAGAGCCAGCGCATATTACCGTGGTTCTAAATGGATCATCTTTGTGATACCCCAAAGATAGTCCTACATGGGGAAGCCATGAAGGGTTTAATTATGTAAAACTAAAGACTAGCAATAGCAGTGACGATCCATTTTTTTATAGTTGATTAGCTAAACAACACGCTGTACTTAATGGATCCCGTGGCTTATGCCGTATTAATGGGCCCGCAAGCCTGAAGTGTGATAAAATATTATCAAAGCGTTATTAGCCATACGAAATATCTAATCTATTACCCCTTTAAAAGAGCGAGTTACTGAAAAAACTTTCCCTCCCCAAATTAACCTTCAACCGGAACCTATATACCAATCTTATCCCTTAGAACATCCGCAGAAATCAAAAGCCCTAAATATTCCTTCGGTTCCTCCTCTCCGCCTTCTCCTCAGCCCATTCGATCTTCCGTTAAAAATTTTTAAGATGAAATCAATTCGAAGGTTCATCCGTTACCCTAAATCTTCCTTAGCTTACGCCTTCTCTCCGCCTTCTTTCAGTTCTTATTACGTTACGCCTTCCCACGATGTTAAGCCATAAATTTCCAAAGATGATTGTTCTTGCCCTAATCATAGTCTCTGCGCATCCGCCATCATCTCCTCAGCTGTCTGAAATTTGGCATCGGTAAGAATGATTTTTCTTTTTTGCTCTTCATTTAATCATTTAATTTAATTTTGTTCTAATTAGCAATCATCTCCTTCTGTTCTAATTCTACAAAAGGTCAATGTTTGTCCGAATCAGGGTTTGCTTCAATTCTTCGTACTGCTCCTTTGTCTGTTTCATCAGGTAAGCCATGTACTCTTTTGGATTTTTATATTATAATCATCAAATTGTATTTTTAAGTATATGTTATTCCAAAAATGTGTAATAAAAGCTTTCTTCTGGATTAAAAAGTCAAGTATCCTGCTATTATAGTACTGGTTTTGTAAACTGTGATATCCTACCTGTTTTCCCCCTTCATTCCAATTCTAAGATATCCAGTAATACGAAACTTTGATGTTGATGGTTATCCAACTGACTCTGAATGCATACTATGAAAATCACAATTTATATTAGATCTATGATATTCACATGCAAAATAATATTTTTCTCGGATTAGAAGATCAAATATCAATATGCTTTAGTCAGATCATGATTTTTTGAACTGTGATTTTACTCATCAAACAGATACTCTGCATATTACATTTCAAATATACAAACATATCTGGATATTTGATGTTGATATGCAAAGGGACTCTTTAAGTGTTTTCCTTATCATATCTTCTTTATGCTTTTTAGGAAAGTAATGATAATGGTTTCAAGAGGGACTCTTTTAGAAAAGTGTAGCTGTAAAAATGTGGTTCAACATCGCTTATGATAAATATTTACTGCTACATCTGTGTAGATTTATGGAACTTTCTACTTCATTGTCATTTCTGAAGGAAGAGACCTCCTTCCTGCTTACTTTTTTTAAACATCAGACATAATGTGCTTATTAGAGTTTTTTTATATAAACAGGAGAAAAGGAATCCCAGATACTGGCAGCGCAAGGTAAGTGTTGTCTGGCATTAACCTCATTGACTTCATATCATAAATTCATATTGCTTGTTGATAGTCAAGTAGTCATACTGAATTAAGTCTCCATAGTTCATTACACATGCACGATGACAGTTAGTTTTCTTATATGAAATTTCTGATTTATGCTTACTAACTTTAATTTTTGGGCATAAACAAGATGAAAGGAATCCACGATGCTGTCAGCTCAAGGTAATTGAATTATTACATGAATAAATCTCATGGACTCAGTGTAGGTGTGATATCCATAGGCAAACTGAGATACATCTGCATAATTTATTTCATATGCACTATGAGTTTGAATGCCATGTAATATTCTTTTTGGCAATTGAAAAACAGTCATCACATAAATACATTCATATCATAAAAAAAATTTGAATAGGTAAAAGTTATTCAAAATATACACAGCCTTCATCTTGCAAGTTGCAACCAAACACACCCTTACAAGCTCTAATTTCTTTCGTCAAAAATAATTGTTTTCAAACGGATCTTGCAGGATATGACAAGTCAAAATTCCAGCAAGGATTAGTCTTATGGGGTAAAAAAGTGAACTTTGGCAATACCAAACATTACCATCAATATTGAGTCATAATATGAATTCTGTTATAAATGAGTTGCCCCACTAGACTACTACTCCCAAATTCCTTAACCTCCCATTAATTATTTAAAAAAACAAATACGAAAAAAAAAAAAATATGCATAAGCCAGAAGCATAATATACCTTTTGCAAGGTAACTTCAAAAGCTGCACAAATTGTTTCGGACAATCAGAAGTTAGAAAGAAAACGGTAGACACGTTAATATATGTAAATTTAAACTTCTCTTGAAGAGAGAATCTGACACAAATAGTACCTATTGGCTACATTTGCAGAGCCTAGCAAAATTTCCAACCATATGGGTAATTATGCTAGCATAAAATTAATGTATCACGACATAATCACTTGATTTAGATATTAGCAACTATATAATTGATAAATGACAAAATGAAGAATCACAACATACCAAGAAATCCTTTTTTAGAAGAAAAGAGGAAAGATTACCTGATTAGTGATAGGGGTCAGTACTTCGAAACTGGAATCCTTAAACCAGAAATGAACCATAGAGATAACCATCCTTGATATTTTTTCAGCTGGGTAATTTTGCTAGCAGTAACTTCTCTTATTGCTTCCTAAAGATGTTTATGTGAACCAAATCCTGTACATTAGAGCTGGTAAGCAGTTTCAAGAAATAAGATTCAAAGAAAAGCTTACACTTAATTATAATAACTTTAAACAAAATTAATTACTTGCCCTTACCTGAATATACCAAACAGTTTTTAAAATAGAGCATGGAGAGCATATCTTACTTATAAAATCACGAGTATGAAATAAATTTCATCAAGAAATTTACAAGCATTGAATGTATATGCAAGAAATGGTCCAAAAATATTTATTCAACCCTATTGATATTTTAACTACAGACTAACAATGTAAAACTTTCATTTTCATTCATTCTACATTCAACAACAAAAGAGTTCCTTACCGTTTGATAGTGATAGGAGAAACAATTTAAGATGTACCCAACAAAAATCTAAACCACATATTCAGAAATAATAACAATTACATGAATTTCTTATCAGAGACCTGATAAGGAAGCATCAAAGGTGTTGGTTAGCAATTTAGTTCCTAGATTAGTTTGTTTAAGAAAAAAACTATGACAACTTGTTGGGACACTACAAACTACAAAATTTTCATGTTCTTACAAGTATGTTTTAAATTTATTAAATAGAAATCTCGACAAACTATATAATGGTCCAAAAATTATGATCATCCTTAAACCAGGAATTAATTAAGTATGTTCCTAAATGATTGAAATTGATTGTCTTTAAATCATATTTTATCCCACAAAGTAGTACAAAGTGATGAAAATCATGTGAAGCCAATTAGGATTTAATGTTACTTAAAATTTCACTAATTATTTAACACATTAAACCAAGGTATAGTTGCAAACTTGAAATATAACTCAAGAACATAAGATTGTATATAGAAATAAGCAAAAAGCAAGATGAAATATGCTATTTATTATAAACATAATGGCATATATTCTAATACCATTTATTTCCCAATGACATCATTCATGAAGTTACCATTCCAAAATTCTCAAAGATCTCAACAAATTTTACAATTATGTGTCACACTTTACACATTATGAGATCATACATAAACTAATATTAAGTGTAGTTTCTGTTCTTGTCAGTTTATTATCAGATCCGTGGGCCATTAGCCCACCATGATAATATTATGTGTAGTTTCTGTTCTTGTTAGTTTGTTTTTTTATAAAATCTAAGAGAACTTGTTGGGACACTACAAACTACAAACTACAAACTATATAATGTATTTTTTAAATTTATTAAATAGAACTCTCGACAAGGCACGTTCTTACAAGTATGTTTTTACATGTTGGTGTAACCGTGTATGACACGTACATGAGGGCCTCCACCTCATGCAAACACAGATTATATATTTCATGTATGTTAGGAAACATATCAGAATGAATAATCTGCAGAAGCATGCATGTATGTTAGGAATCAAGTCCATCCAAATATCTCAAACACTTATACCAAAATATAAGAAAACATATAAAAGAAATCTAAAAAACACATTGATCAGTGAATTTCATAGGAAAAGATACTACAGAAATGGTAACTAAAATCAATTTTTTCCAAGAGTTCTATTCTGAACCATGTTACATATGAACGACAACAAACATGCAATAAGGACATACATAATCATGCAGGCTCCAGGTCTCCATTAAAACAATATAGAAATTTAAATGATAAATAACAGCATAAAAGAACGTTAACTGCCAATGGCATAAGACACCAAAAAAACAAAGGCTAAAAGAACATTTTTAACCCATGAGTCCTTTCTTTAGAATTACCAGAATCATTAAGTACTTGATAGCATGACAAGAGTGGCATTCAAACCATGTAAAACATCAGATCAAATATACATGAGTAACATATGAAACAGGAATGAGTAAAGGTCCACTGAAAATGTTACTGACTGAAAAGTGTAACAAGGAAAGGAAGCATAAAGCTTC